TGTGGAAAGGATTTTATACAAACATACACAGGGAAAATTAGAAGAGATTGAGCAGTAAATGGTAAATTATCACCTGGGAAGATTTCATTCCAGCATATGTTTCAGTTCCCAGTATGTGAATCTTCAATGAAACATAGATTTATTTGCACAGCTTGTGCTCTGCCATTTTAGAAGAAATGTAACCTGGGCAGTGAGATTTGTTGTCTCTAGACCTGATGAGTACACTTTGCGTTATATCCTTAAATAAATACCAGAATTTTAAATGATAAATACATATTATAAACTTATATTATACACTTATTTGTTAGATATTTCTATTGTATTTATATTATATAATATATACTGTTTCTCTCTTTTTTGAGATAACAAAGATAAGACTGCTGTTTTTTGTGATAGCTGTATTCTGTGTCACGGACTGTGATACAACTTCATTTTTTGGTGTTGCAGTTTTTGAGAAGTTAAAGTCACAACAGACATAAATAGTTTATCAATATAAATTAACTATGCACCCCTTAATATCTTTGGGCAGCTATCTCAGGAAGAAGCCTTTTCCCCAGGGAAAATTTGCATGCTGCCTCTCAGACCTCAGTAGAAACTTCTCTGCCCTCAAAAAAATACACTGTAGAGGATGAGAGGGACAGTATGTATCTTGGGACCCCCTTCAATAGCATGTTCACAGCTGTGTCAATCTACCTCAAAACAGCTGGGATCAGAAACCCCAGAACCACATGGGTGATGCAGCCCTGCTGAGAGATTTTCCTTCGTGTTTTTAATGTGATAACTATAATTTAAGCCCTATGTGATTGGGTAGCCAGCACTAAGTTGCACAGGGATATAAGAAAATGCAATGAAAGTAGTTGTCCTCTCCTTCCCACTGACCGAGCTTTCCCTGGGAGTGCCTGGAGAAGAGGAAGGGACCCACCCACCTTTCAGAGACCTGCTTGAAGCAAGGACGCGTTTTAGTTCATTTTTCGTAAGGCTGAAACAAACCAGCTTCTCTGTCATGCTGTATCTAGTTCCTGCCCCAGTGCACACCATCCCTTTTTTTGCATGTGCAATGTTTTTTCCAGAAGGAGGAGGACATGGAAATCTGTTTGATTTTCTGCATGTTACACTGCCGCAGAGAAACAACCTGCAAAAAGATAGAAGGCCACTAGGCAGCACGTTGCAGTGTTGTTTTTTTCCCCGCTTTATTTCTCCTTTTAATTTACATTGCTGGAACCAGCTTTGGGCAAGTCGGATGTTTTGAATACCTAGAAAAATTATTTGAACACGTTTGTAAAACAAACTGGGCTCCTGCAACTCTTGCAGCACTGCTGAAACTGCCTGAAGTCAGAGTAGGGCTACACAGAAAATGGGCAGGATGATGAAGAAAATGTTGCAAGGCAGAGTTAAGAGGTGGAAACAGAAATAAACAAGTTAAATGCGTATGGAGGAAAGATTTCCAACTGTGGTGGTTCTTAGAGGCAGATATCTGCTGGGCATGCTGCAGATATAATCCACAGACATCCACATTTCTTCAGTATGAAAATCAGGGTGCAAGGATATTGTGCAACCAGAGCTCACCCTGAGGTGGAGCTGGGATGTGACTGGGAAAGTAGCCATTATTTCTAGGTTGTGTAATACAGATGCAGCCAGAGGGGCTGTGCAAGCCTGTGCCATGTAAGTTATCACCAAGTAATTTCAGGATCATCAGCTATACGCTAAAAGGAAGTCAGGGTTGATAATCCTTTATATACTCTGCGATTACATGACTTTCAAAAAAATGTACTGGGCATTCTAGAAATGTCACACAGATCTCCTGCAGCACAGCTAACCAAACAAACGCCACAGCACGGACTGAATGCACTGACTCCCCAGTGCATCCCTGCCCTTTACTTACTCTCTCACTAGAGACCTACACCCAGTAACCAGAGGAGGATGGACATGGCTTCTTCCAAAATCAGCTAGTGCTGCTCCCTGAGTTAGCTACTGGTTTTTATGGGAAATTGATCCTAGTATTTAATCTCCTGGGAATTAGAATACAGGAGCTCCCACTGCTGATGGACAGCTGTGGTCTATTAGGCCAAGCCTACCAGTACATTCTGATCTTGCTGCATGGCTTCATTCCGGTTCCTCATTGCTACTATGCAAGAGAATATTTTGCCATGCTTGGGAAGTCCTGAGAAATACTATAGGAGAACATAGTATATAATTAGTAGTGATAGTAGTCAAAAGACTGGGACACCAACATTCAATTCAAGCCAGGATGTTCAATCTCTTCACTTCCATTTCTTCCCCTTTCCTGTTCATGCCTGGCTTCACTTTCCCTGTTTCTTTGCTTTGTGCCTTCCCCATTTCTGTTTGCCTGCCTGATTTCCTTTCTTTTGTCCCTTAAGAATAATTTCAGTGTTCTTCCTCCAACACGCAGAGGGACACTCGTGTAGCTACATCATTTATTCACTAATGACTGCAGCAGAGCAGTGCTTTTCCAATTTGATAGTACTTGCACTTTCAGCTTGCTGAACACTTTCAGACTTTCTTCCCTGGGGAGAAGCTGACAGAACCCCTGACAAAGTCCCGTGGCTTAATACCTGGAGAAAACCACCCTGATATTGTTATGTCCAAATAAAGCATAAACCCCTTTGTATCCTTGCTTATCACTTAAAAAAAAAATAAATTAGCATTTGACAGCCACACTGGAGCTCCGCAGATGTCCAGAACTTTATAGTGTATGTAGAGAACTAAGTGTAGCAGGCAAAGCAAGAGTGGCAGAGTTAAGAATTAGTGAGCTCTTAGTAACTTTAATTTTCTAACGTAATCTTTGGGAATTAATTCTCTGAAGGCAACCAAACACAACCATTGTGCTTGGAGCTCTTGTTCCCATTACACCTTGTTGCTCCTGCACATAGCAATTCCTTCACATCCCAGTAAAAGCAGAGCCTTTCATGCTGTCAATACAGGTGACAAGTAGTATATACTGCAGCTGACAGCCTCCTCCCTCAGGAAAGTAACAATACAGGTCTAGGTGTAGGAGAACAAGTTAACTCCTCTGCTCCATTTCAGATGCTCCCTCCCTGGTAAATAGCAAGCAGAATCCATTAGGCAGGAAGTATGGCAGCAATGACTACAGCAATGAGCTATGCAGATTTTTTCCTCCCTTCCTTGTCCATCCTCCACCCAAGACCTAATCGATGCTATTCCAGCAGACTAGCACATCCTTCTCCCACTTCTGCTCCCCAACCTGAGTTCTGAATTCTTCCCTGCTTAGTTTTTCTCTCACTCATTAATTCTTTTGTTCTGTTTTTGACTTTGACTGTTGTACTGCTTTGTCTCCTGATTTTTTTTTTTGTGTGCATTCCTCCTTATTGCCCTCCCACGACTCTCCTGTGAGGTATGCCCACAGCTCAGCAGCCTACATGCCCTTTCTTGTTTACTCCTTACAAACTCGTCTAATCCTTTATCACACTCTTTTTTTTGCCTTCAAATTCTGCTCTGCTTTTACCACAACCAGGATTTTTCTTGATCCCATGCATTCTGGCTTGTGGTCCCAGCCACTGGAATCAATTTGTTAAATCTGCATAGCTCTATGGGCAGACCTGAGTACAGGGACAAAAACCATAACGTAAGAAAGCTCTCTTGCTGGCCAAGCTCATACCTGTTCTCCAAACAGAAATCCCCTGTACCAGCAGAACTGCGACAATGCAACGTCATCTGTGCGCCATTTCCTATCAGTTTAAGCACATCTGTTACAAGTGGGATTTCCTCTTCCCTGCTCCCTGCCTCCTCATCCCAGGGGTCATAACTGTAGCAACAAAAACTTTTAAACCTAGGGCAAGACAACAGGGCACTTTTCTTTGACAGGCATCTGAAACGCTGGTTGCTCTAAAACTTTATTTTCTTTCCTGGGGCTTCCACAGTTGCTCTTTCCCCACAGCTGCAATCTCTCTTAGGATTCCTTCCTGCTGTCTCCCCCTCTTGCATAAAAGATGAACAGGAATTGGGTGTATTTGCCTACTGTGTATTTAAAAAAATAACACGTTTTGGTTCTGCCCTTTTTTATCATACCTCTAATCTGTTTACATTTTATCAAGCTAAACACAGCTCTTCTGTAGCATTTGGCTTTTGGCCAGAAAATCTGCAATGAAGCTTTTTCCAGCTTGCTTGCTTACTTTTTTTACTGCTGCCTGTACACTACCTAAAGCAGCGTGGCCCACCAGGACAAGGCATTACTTAGTCTTACTTGTAAAGACAAATTTAATCCAGTCCACTTAATGGGCTTGGCAACTACGATTGCTGCAACTGATGGAATGCCTTGTAAAGAAGCCACAGGTGTACTCCCCATTTATCCACTGAGATCTCTTTCCTTGTTTAGCAAAACATAATTTAAGTACTTACCTTCTCTCATTGCCCTCCCTCATGGTTATTTTCTGAGGCAGCTATTCTCAAATGTCTGCTACTAATTCACATAATTCTTACCAGCAAATTGAGCATCCTCAGCACCTTTTTGAGGCTAGAAATGCAACACAAAGTAAGCAATTATTTTGCTTGAGCACAGGAAAGCACACACTCTTTTCTTACTCGACTACACCGTTTCATTGAGTAAATGGGCTTTTTGGTGAACACAGAAATACACACTTCTTAGTGCGTATTTTTTTTTTCCAGGTACAGTTCATATAATATCAAAGTGCTTTATTCCTCTGGCATACTTATGGGTGAAGATATTTATGTAGGTAAAATTCAGTAATCTTAGTGCACAAAGCTGAGAGGGAAGTAAAGGCCTCACTTCATTCCCCGCACCGCGTCAACGATAGGTTTCTTTATGGGGGCGAGTATTGTCCAGTGAACTTGGTACAAGATCCATTAATTTCAGCTGCAGTCTTTCTCAGTGACAAGACTAGGCTGTGGATCAGATCCTACACAGGGGTGTATTTCTAAAATCAGCTAAAAATTGAATGTTTTTTGTAGTTCAATTTAAAAATTGCTCTGCCAATCAGCATGTTTGGGTTTGTTTCAGATTCACTGTCTCAATGGAAATGGTACCAGCCTGGGTCCCGGCAGTGGGTTTCACACTCCTGCCCCATACAGGAGGATTTTTAGGAAGCAACATAACCAAAAAGGAAATCCCAGTGTGGTATGAAGCTCTACAGAAGCCATCTTGGTGTCCCCCTAACTGGGTGTTTGCTCCTGTTTGGGGAACCCTCTATACATCTATGGGGTATGTTTTTCACATTGTATTAAGGCACTTACCCAATAAGCAACTCTGAGATCAGGTAATGCTGGACCAGAGAACTATTGTTGTGTTCCTGTGGCTGTATGTCTGTAAGAGACTCTGTCAAGCTGCCCGTGTAACAGGTAAGAACATGTTTTGGGAGTTGTGTGTGGATTTGATAGGACATTTTGTGCATAAGTATCCACATCAAAAGCAGGAGTTTGAAAAGCTGCCACCTGCCATTAATATGCTTCCCTCCTTCACTCTGAAGGGAAGACCTGCCAAGCTGGCAGTGATGGAGCAAGGCAGTACTGGGATTTCTTCTATGTCTGTCCTTCAGTAGTTTTAGGCA